AGGTGAGGAGATCCAGACCAGCCTGGCCAACATGGCAAAACCTGGTCTCTGCTAAAAATACAAATAATTAGCCAGGCATGGTGGTGCATGCCTGTAATTCCAGCTACTTGGGATGCTGAAGCACGAGAACTGGTTGAATGAACCCAGGAGGCAGAGGTGCAGTGAGCTGAGATCACGACACTACACTCCAGCCTGGGTGACAGAGTGAGACTGTCTCAAACAAAACAAAGCAAAAGTCTCTCCTATTTAACCCTACTGCTCTGAAATTTCACAGTGATGTGCCTTATTCTCTGTGCTGGTGCTAGGTCTTTTTCTGTTTCTCTCTCTGTCCCTTTTGTTGTTGTGAAACAAGGTCTCACTCTGTCATGCAGGCTGGAGTGCAGTGGTGCCATCATGGCTCACCCTGGCCTCAACCACCCAGACTCAAGCGAGTCTCCGGCTGCAGCCTCCCACGTAGCCAGGACTACAGGCATGTGCAACCACACCCAGCTAATTTTTTCTCTCTTCTTTTTGTAGAGACGGGGGTCTGTCTGTTTCCCAGGCTGATCTCCAGCTTGGGCTCAAGCGATCCTAGGGATGGGTGCGGTGTCTCACCCCTGTGGGGGTCTTCACATCCTCTTTATTGATCCTCTTTTGATCTATTTGTTCATCAAGATAATAAAGGACTGCCAAGGATCGAGCACCTGGTATGTGCCACATATTGTGCTTTCTACTCAGTATGTCTCATTTCACCTTCACAGACTCCCTGCAAGGTGAGCATTATTATATCCATTTGCGGGCCAGGACTGCTGCTCAGTAGCTTTTCCCAGGACACTGAATTCTGACAGGTGAATAGCTGCCAAGGGGTGGAGGTTGGCCTGCAGTGGGCATCAGTCTGACTTCCAAGCTGGCTGCTCTTTCCAGGGCAACCACCCAGAGGCGGGCCCCAGTGCTAGGTGATGGCAGGATTGCATGTCAAGTGCTTCATAGGGGGATGTAAGTTCCATGGGGGCTGAGACCTTGGCTGGTCTGATCACCACCGTCAACCAAGCACAAGAGCAATCCTTGCAGTGCTGAAAATACACAATCTTTTCTTTTTTTTTTTTTTTTTTTATTTTTGGGGGAAAATTGGGGGGGGGGGGGGGGGGGGGGGGGTGGGGGGGGGAATGTCGGAGGAGGGAATGTTGCAGGGGTGGGAATTTGTTTTTTTCAAGACAGTCTCACTGTCACCCAGGCTGGAGTGCAGTGGCACAATCTTGGCTCACTGCAGCCTCTGCCTCCCAGGTTCAATCAATTCTTCTGTTTCAGCCTCCCAGGTAGCTGGGACTACAGGTGTGCACTACCATGCCCAGCTAATTTTTGTATTTTTGGTAGAGACAGGGTTTCACCATGTTGGCCAAGCTGGTCTCAAACTGCGGCCTCAAGTGATCTGCCTGCCTCAGCCTTCCAAGTGCTGGGATTACAGGCATGAGCCACTGCTCCCGACAATCAATATTTTTTAAAAGGATGAATGAATGGATGGATAGATGAACATAATTTCATTTAATTCTCAGAGCAACTGAGTTGTAACTCTAATTAACCCTTTTGTAAAAGGTTAGAAAGCAAGTCCCAGCATTCTGGGATTTTTGTTTGCCAGGGGATTGGTCTTTCCAGGAATCGTTTTTGTGTAATCTTAGAATTACCCATGATGATAACCCATGCTACCCCTTGGCAACCAGAACCCAATGGGATAGCTGAGTTGGCTTGCCTAAGTGACTGAACATTTATGCAACAAAATATTATTGAGTGAGTGTCCACTATGTGCTAGGCACTAGGCTGGGAGATTTACATTCATTAAATCTCATGCTTGCTCTACAATGGCCGAGTAGCCAGTTGGCCTAAAACCAGTTTCTTTCTTTCTTTCTTTTTTTTATTTTTTAACTCAGTCTCCGTAGAGACTGTCAAAAATTGCCAATACCGACTGTATTTCAAGTCGTCATGGCGGGATATGGGAAAAATTTTCAATTAGCAATAATCGCGCATCGGATAAACCTCACTGGCTACGATACTGCCACTGCGCAAAGCTAAAACCAGTTTCTTAAAGAGCCATTTGGTTGGCCAGGATGCAGTGGCTCACGCCTGTAATCCTAGCACTATGGGAGGCCAAGGCAGGCGGATTGCCTGAGCCCAGGAGTTTGAGACCAGCCGGGGCCACACGTTAAAACCCTGTCTCTACTGAAATATAAACAATTAGCTGGGCGTGGCAGCATGCACCTGTAGTCCCAGCTACTCGGGAGGCTGAGGTAGGAGAATTGCTTGAACTCAGGAGGCGGAGGTTGCAGTGAATTGAGATTGCACCACTGCACTCCAGCCTGGGCAACTGCATGAGACTTCGTCTCCATTAAAAAAAAAAAAAAAGATTCATTTGCTTAATGAAGAGTTTGCTTAAAATTCAGCTTCTAGACCTTTGAGAGTCCAGGTTTCATTTTAGTGTTCTATATTTTCTTGTATTTGAGAGCAGTTCAATGATGAAAAAAATTAGTTCCACCAAGGGCGTCACCTAACTTTATTTAGTATTTATATTACATATTTATTGAACTTGCAGATTTTGTTTATTGACTGCTTTTTAAAAATATGGACCGTTTCACAAATTTGCACATCATCCTTGCACAGGGGCCATGCTAGCATTCTCTGTGTTGTTCTAATTTTAGTATATGTGCTGCTGAAGTGAGCCCAGAATTTTTTTTCTCTAGTGATAGGATTGTTTTGTATACTTGAAAGTGCCTTTCCTTGTTCTGTTTAACCTACTTTTGCATGGTTAAGCTCTTTTTAGTCAGTTTATTATATAAGGCCTTTTATTCAGAATTTAAATTAAATTTAAAAGTAAATTAAATTAAAATTAAAATTAAATTTAATTCAGTATTTCTTTCCAGGACATGTAAAAAGACATAAAAATGCTCCAAAGGAGATAGAATTTCTAACAAATGGGTTTTTAGGTAAGATGTTCGCCAGCTAGGCTGTAATGAGAAAACAGTGGAGACCAAGATGTAGGCAGACGTTTAGTAAGCCCTCCCTTCCTTTCCTTTCCCTTCCCCTCCGCACTGTCAGCCATCGAGGAGGAGGCTGGGGCTCCTGATTTCTGATTTTTACCATCCTAGGTGTCAAATGCTATTTTTCATGTCCCCCTGAGTCAGAAGGAAGGTGGTCTGGTAGGTCGCTGAGTAGATGTACTAGGGGCAGAGAAAACTTGGCAACCTTTCAAACATTCTTACCAGAAACCATGCCCTCCAACATCAGTGGGACATGTGAATGACTGAAAATGAGCATGACTAAAATAGGCAGCTAATTGGATAACCCTGAAGCATTTGCATAGTGATTTTATTTATTGCAGAAATGCTCATAATCATTCAAACAGATAGAAAAAGGGAGAACTTACATTACTCCTGCCTGCCCAACACACCCTTGGATCAGAATTTTAAAATTTGTTAATTATGTTAACTATTTGAACAAGTCTCTATTTTTGACATGAGAAAATAAAATAAAAAGGGAGAGGTAGGAACTCAGGGCTCAGTATAAAAGTAACGGAGTTGTTTAAGAACATGAATCTGTTAAATCCAATCTAGGAAACATAAACAGAGTACACACAAACTGGATATTTTGGTCGAGCACGGTGGCTCATGCCTGTAATCCCAGCACTTTTGGAGGCCAAGGTGGGTGGATAACCTGAGGTCAGGAGTTCAAGACCAGCCTGGCCAATATGATGAAATCCTATCTCTATTAAAAATACAAAAAATTAGCCGGGCGTGGTGGTACATGCCTGTAGTCCCAGCTACTTGGGAGGCTGAGGCAGGAGAATCACTTGAACCTGGGAGGCGGAGGTTGCAGTGAGCTAAGGTTGCACCATTGCACTTCAGCCTGGCTGACAAGAGTAAAACTCCGCCTCAAAAACGAAACAAAACAAACCTGCATATTTTGTCGCTTTTAAAAGAAGGTCAAAATAGATGGTTCTTAAAAATAAAGCACAAGTGTCTTCATTTTCATATTTGGAAAACTACTGGAGTGTCAACATAATAATGCCTGCAAACTTTCAGAAAGAATTTTTGTAGAATTTCCTGGACGTTATCTGGAATGAGGATGATGTCCTTCTGACGCTACAGTGTTTTATGGGAGCTGAGATCATCTCACCTCTGCCCTGTGTCTATCCCCAGGGAGTTTGACCAGTGACCCTGGGTCCAGCCTTTCCTGACATTCTCAGCAGAAGCAGCTGGCTGGTCTGAGCACAGTGAACCCAGTGTCCCTCCATGCCACACAATTCTACCCGTCTAGCTTCTCAGGTGTTAGTGTGGTATTTTGGAAAGTATATCGGTGGGGATGTCAACCAGCCTGGACTTTACTGTGCTGTTGACTGTAGTGGCCACATTGGCCACCTGACCCATGCCAGGAGCCACTTCAGCTGCAGGTGCATTTCTGCGTGATGGTTGTCATTTTGATTAAGAGTGCAAGGCTCCGGGGCCAGACTCTCTGGGTTCAAATACTGGCTCCTATATCTCCTAGTTATGGGACTATTTGTGTGTCTCCTTTCCTTATCAGTAAAATAGGATTTTTTATGCATCTATCACACAGTGTTATTGTGAGGATTAAATGAGTTAATATGTCTAAAGAGTTAGAACAGTGCCTGGCATATGGTAAATGGTATGTAAATTTTAGCAATGAATAACTATCATCATTATTATTTTTTAGAGATGGGGTCTTGCTCTGTTACCCAGGTTTGCCTCTAACTCCTGGCTTCAAGTGATCCTCCTGCCTTGGCCTCTGAAGTAGCTGGTACGACAGGTACAAACCACCGTGTCAGACTACCATGATTATTTATGTGAAGTACTTGGAACTACACAAGGCATTTCTTGAGTAAAAAATGCACAGGAGTGCACTTGCAGGTGTATATATTTAAAGGAACAATTGCTTCTTCTACGATCCTGGAAGTACAGTTTCCCAACGGTGCAGTTTCTCTTCTCTCCCTTTCCCTTTGCTACTACCTGCTCTCAGCTTTCTCATCATCCTCTGCCTTTTTCCTTGGTGTGAACTTGGCTCTCTCTCCTCCATCCAGCTTACTTTTTCTTTCTTACACTTACAAATCACCTGGATACTGTTCCTCCTTTCTTTTACTCTTCTAAGTTTTATTTTATTTTATTTTATTTATTTTCTTTTTTTTGAGACGGAGTCTCATTCTGTCGCCCAGGCTGGAGTGCAACGGCACCATCTTGGCTCACTGCAACCTTTGTTTCCTTGGTTCAAGCGATTCTGTTGCCTTAACCTCCCAAGTAGCTTGGACTACAGGCATGTGAAACCACACCCAGCTAATTTTTGTATTTTTAGTAGAGACAGGGTTTCACCCATGCTGGCCAGGCTGGTCTTGAACTCCTGACCTTGTGATTCGCCCACCTTGGCCTCCCAAAGTGCTGGGATTACAAGCATGAGCCACCTCACCCAGCTAGGTTTTATTTTATTTTAGTCACGTAAGTGATCTGAGAAGTGGCTGTAAAAAGGTAGTGCTGGGCTATTGACATGCTGTCTCAAACTGAAGGGGGTGAGTCACAAAAGGAGAAAGTCCAACGCAGGACAGAAGAGACGCAAGTTCCTTCTGGCTTTAGAGCTCTATGTCCTCCATTTCAGATTTAGATTTATATTTTCTTCTTTTTTTTAAAATTTTTTTTTAGATTTATATTTTCTTAACAATTTATTTTTCACTTTGTATGGCTTAAGCCCTAGGCTAGGGCTTTTCGATGGATTATTATGTAATCCTTACAACAATTCCTTAAAGGCAGGTATCACTCTCATCTTACAAACGAAGAATAGCCAAAATGGAAAGAGAATTAACTTATCCAAGGCCACCCAACTGGAAAGCAGAGAGCCAGAGTTGGAACCTATACATTTTAACTCTAAGCTTCAGTCTCTTCCCACTACCCATAATTCCTCCCACACATAAAAGTAGAAGTAGGCTGGGCACAGTGGTTCACCTGAAATCCCAACACTTTGGGAGGCTGAGGTGGGAGGATTGCTTAAGTTCAGGAGTTTGAGACCAGCCTGGGAAACACGTGAAACCCTGTCTCTACAAACGATAAAAAATTAGCTGGGTGTGATGATGCATGCCTGTAGTCCCTGCTACATGGGAGGCTATGGCAGGAGGATTGCTTGAGCTCAGGAGTTCAAGGCTGCAATGAGCCATGATCATGCCACTGCTCTCCAGCTTGGGTGACCCCGCCCCCTAAAAGAATTGTAAAATAATGTAATTAATGTAAATACAAAGTGGTACTTATAAGATCTTATGGAAATGTAAGAGAGGTAGGGAGGGGGGATTTCTAATATTTCCTAGGGCAGCTTTTTAAACTGGGGTCCTTGGAATTTTGGAAGGTCAGTGGAGGAACCACCTGAAGTCTGCAAAACTTTCTCAGAGGTGTTTGTGGCCAAGGGAGTAGAGAGGTGGGAGTCTGACCAGGGCATCACAGAGGAGTATTAACTGTGTGAATGTTTGAGCTCATCAAGAGTTTGCCAGGAATCAGAAGAGGACTAGGCAAAAGAAACCACAAGTGGAAAAGCACATGCAAATAATTTGCTTGGACTTCAGCCTAGGGTACCATTCAAGGAAGCAGCAGGAGACAAAGCACCTAAGATAGGTGGTTAAGGTCCAGACTAAGAAACAAATGATGTCCAGGACCAAGAATGAACTCTCAAGGATATTAAAAATGCTTTCGAGAGCATTAATACAGTTCATCATAAAACGTATTCTCCGATGCCATTAAGCAATATGCTGGAAGTTGCTTCTTCCCTTTTGCAGATGCTTGTAGCTAATTCTCTGTATTTTAGGATAAATTTGCATTCAGGAGTAGAGCTGGGAGCCTAACCTTGTTTCTGGGGAATAATGTGTCCTGAATTCTAAATAATGGCTTACAAAAGTTCTGAAGAGCCAGGAGTTCTGTGAATTGGCATGGTGGCACCACCCATTGGTGCCTTGGTGGTAGGTCATCGAATCCCTGGCATCCAAATATGGGGCTGTAAATTAGAGGAGGGGCAGAGCAAGAGAATATTGCACTAAATGAAGATGTGGTGGGTTTGTTACTGGAAAATAGGCAGAGAGATTTTGGATCTAGATTTCCCTTGAGGTAACAGTAGTTAAGTTTATAATTCAGGTATCACTGTGGAAGTCTCTGCCACACTGATTTTGTTTTCTCCCCAAACTTCTGAGGTTGATCACTTAATCAGGTAGATTAACTAGGTTAGTTAAATTAAGATATATATGCAATCATCTCCCACAAAGCAAGCTTGTCCGAACTGGAACTGTTTCCATAGATTTCAAGGCTCATTCGCTTTTCTCCTTAGGACAGATATGACGTTCCTAAGCCTGATAATTCCCCTTTCTGTCTGAGTTGATCAATACGTCTTTTTGCATCCTCAGCACAAAAACCCAAAGTGCTTGCTTCCTTTTCTGAAAGAAAGCCTTTGTCTCTCTGGGATTAAGAGGGCATGGTCCCATGGCACAGTTTGCCGTCAAATTTTGGCACCTGAAAACCCTTCCCTCTTTAAAGAACTGTGGGCAACCAGTCAAAAGGGACCCGAGTTCTGGCGTTTGGAATGAAAACGTTACCTGCCAACTGGGCTGCTCTGAATGTATTGTTTCTCAAACCAGGGGAAGCGCAAGTAACAAGAGCAGGCTTTGTTCTGTTGGAACATTCTTGATGAG